CTAGGCCTCAATATAAATTGAATCAAAACATGACATTTCCAAAAAAGTACAGTTCAATAGTTTCACAAAATGATCAGACTCATATAATTAGTACCTAATTCAGGAAATGGATCCCTACAGGAAGCCTTCAACTTCTCTCACCCATTTCAGATATCACATATCCTCTCCTCCACTGCCACCCCTCAACCAGGCTGGTCTTGAACTGGCAGCAGGCTTCTTGCCTTACCTTCCTTCCTGGATGCTGGTATTACAGACATGTACCACATCTGGCATTATGAACATCTTTATACAAAGGTGTTGGTGCCCACAACAGTCACAATTTTTCTATAGCCTCCATTGCACTGTATTATCTTACATGTCTTATTTAACACACTATATCATGCTTTCCTTAAGAAGATTTGTTATTTATTTCATTTAGTTTTTGTAGAGCCAGGAGTCAATTTCAGGGCCTCAGGCGAGTGAGGGAAGCATTCTGTCACTAAGCTACATCCCAGCCCCATACAATCACAGTAGACGTTACAAAGTATTTGTAAAGAGTATCTAAAATAATCTTTTAAAAATTAATTTGTGGACTGGAGAGATGATTCAGTGGTTAAGTGCACTGGCTGCTCTTGCAGGGGACCCTGGCTCAGTTCCCAGCACCCACGTGGCAGCTAACAACCATCTATAACTCCAGTTCTAGGGGATCCAATATGTGCTTCTGGTCTCCATGGGCAATTCATGATACAGGTGAACTCACATCCATGCAGGCAAAACACTCCACAAAGATCCGCCTGCCTCTGCCTCCTGAGTGCTGGGACTAAAGGTGTGAGCCACCATGCCCAGATCCATTTTATATTTCTTATGGATATATGCCAAAGCAGATGCATTTTAAAATAAGACATCCCAGCTGGGCGTGGTGGTGCATGTCTTTACTCCCAGCACTTGGGAGGGAGAGGCAGGCGGATCTCTGTGAGTTCAAGGCCAGCCTGGTCTACATAGTGAGTTCCAGGACAGTTGGGGCTACAGAGAGACCTTGTCTCAAATATATATATATATGACATCTCTAGAAATACATAATCAAGAATTCTTCATGTTCAGTAATATTCTGAAAGTACTCAGACATTAGCTTCTCATGAAATATTACATTTTAGGTGTAATTATAGATTCAAGTAATTAGAAGACATGTTGGGAAACAATTCAATCTGTCACATCCTTCAATATATTTCAGCAGGAGTCAACACTTTTAAACTAACATTGCTATAAGAAGGATTAGTTTTTCTTTTTCTTAGATGTTGTCAAGGGTGACCTTGAACTCCTTGGTCAAGTGTGAGCCTCCTGCCTCAGTCTCCCTAGTAGTTGGGACTATGGGTTAGAGCAACCACATCCAACTCATAGTTTTTCAAAAAAGAATTTATCCTTTTTAATTGAGATTAAAAAAATGTACATATCTATGAGGTACCATATACTTTATACACATATATATGCATACATATTGTATAATATTTAAATCAGGTTAAATATATCTCATTTCTTTTTTTTGTTAATATTTTATTTTTTTTTATTTGTATTGCCTGCATGTAGGTAAGTGCACCCGTCGTCGTGCAATGCTTGTGGAGGACAGAAAAGGCTGTCGGATCCCTTTGAACTGGAGTTACAGTTGTTAACTGCCATGTGGGTTCTGAGATTCGAACCCAGGTCTTCTGCAAGAACAGTCAGTGTTCTTAACTGCTGAGCCACCTCTCCAGCCCTTTTCCTTTTTTTTTTTTTTTGTCTTTTTGAGACAGGGTCCCCTGTAGCCCCAGCTGGCCTGGAATTTGCTATGTAGACCAGGCTGGCCTTGAACTCAAGAGATCTACCTGACTCTGCCTCCAAAGTGCTAGGACTAAAGGTGTGTGCCACCACACCCACCTCTATCCTACTTTCTTTGAAAAAAAAAATGATTTATGGGCTGGAGAGATGAGTCAGCAGTGAAGAGCACTTGTTGCTCTTGCAGAGGACCTGGATTTGATTCCGAGCAACCACATGGCAGCTAACAACCATCCATAATTCCAGTTCCAATGGAATCAGACACCCTCTTCTTACCTCCACCATTGTACGACATTGGTGCACTTACATACATGCAGACAATACATATAAAATAAAAAATGATTTATTTTTATGTGTATGAGTGTTTTGTCTGCATGTAAATGTACCGATGTTGTGCAAATCCTGAGACTGGAAGAGGATGTCAGATCTTTTGGAGTTAAGGATTGTTGTTAGCCATCACATGGTGCTGGGAACTTAACCCAGGTCCTTTGGAAGAGCAGCCAGTGCTCATAACTGCTGAGCCATCTCTCTAGTCCTTTATTCTACTTTCCATTTCTCTCATTTGTGTACTAAATAAGGCTCAATCCTGCTTAGTTTCTGCAACCAGACAAGATCTGGGCAGTTCAGGGTGATATGGAGGTAAACTACTTTCAAATTTTGAGACTTTTTAAAAAATTCTTTTATTGAATTTTTGTGTATTTCACACAGAAAATCTTTTTTTCTTTTTTGTCTTTTTGAGACAGGGTCTCTCTGTAGCCCTGGCTGTCCTGGAACTCACTATGTAGACCAGGCTGGCCTCGAACTCACAAAGATCCTCCTCCCTCTGCCTCCAGAGTGCTCGGATTAATGGCGTGCACCACCACGCCCCGCTGAAAATCATCTTTATACTTCCCCTTTGGCACCCCCCCCCAAGACCCCCACTGGAGTTCATACATTCAGTCATTTGTGTTAAGGCCTATCATGGAAAGTTCTACATGTGAGATCCTGAAATGCTTGTCTTTCTGTGCCTGGCTTATTTTGTTCAGCATGAAGATCTCCACTTCCATTCACACTGTCAGGAATGACAGGATCTGGAGCCAGGGACACAGTTTAGTGGGTAAAGGTGCTTTATGCCAAGTCTCACACCCCAAAATCAATTCCTGGAACCTACAGAGAACTGACTCCTGCAAGTTGTGCCCTGACCTGCATACTCATGCTATGGCATGCTTATGTGTGCATGTGTGTGTGTGCACGCGCACGCACACACGAATGTAATTAAATCGTGTTAGGATATCACTTATTTTATTTTATGTGTATGAGTGTATTGCCTGCATGTATGTAAGTACACCTGTGGTTGTTAGCTGCCATGTGGGATCTGGGAACCAAACCCAGGTCCTCTGCAAGAGCTTTGAGTGTTCCTAACCATCTTTCCAGTCCCCTCATTTTTTTAAAAATCTCAACTAGTATATATATATATCTATCTATCACTTTCTTTATCCAGTGTTAATATTGATGTACACTTAATGTTGCTTCTACTTCCTGGCAAAAAAATTACTTTTTAAAATCTTTTAGTTGTGGCTGGAGTGGTGCATGTCTTCAATCGCAGTACTGGAGGCACAGGCAGGCAGATCCCTAGGAGTTTGAGGCCAGCGTTGTCTCCAAAATGAGTTCCAGGTCAAGCAGGGCTACATAGTGAGACTTTGTCTCAAAACACACAAAAAAGCCGGGCCTGGTAGTGCACCCCTTTAGTCCCAGCACTAGGGAGGCAAATCTCTGTGAGTTCAAGGCTAACCTGGTCTACATAGCAAGTTCCAGGTCAGTTGGAGCTACAAGGAGACCCTGTTTCAAAAAGACAAAAAAACAAAACAAAACAACAACAACAAAAAGGCAGGGCTTGGTGGGTCATGCCTTTAATCCCAGTACATGGGAGGCAGAGGCAGGCTGATTTCTGTGAGTTCAAAGCCAGCCTGGTCTACATAGCCAGTCCCAGGCCAGCTGGGGCTAAGTGGAGACCCTGTCTCAAAAAGACCAAAACAAACAAAGGGTACTGGAGAGATGGCCCTGTGCCTAAGAGCACTGACTACTCTTCCAGAGTACCTGGGTCTGGTTCCCAGTACCCACATGATTGCTAAGAACTGTTTCTAACTCCAGTTTCAGGGGATCTGATGCCCTTTTCTGGCCTCTGTGGGCATTGCAGGACATGAATGCACTTACATACATGCAGGCAAAACATTCATACACATGAAAATATTTGAAAAAACTAAAACACAACAAAAAAACCCTTTTATCTGAATAATCTCAATTTGCTTTATCCTTATGCTATTCTTCATAACTGGAAATCCATACCATAAAATGGAATTCAATGCAATCACTTGCAAAAAGAAATCGAAAACTTAAAGATCACAATAACCAGCAAGGTAGCTTAGCATGTAAGTTTAACAGTTGTCAAAACGAATCTTATGCCAAACCTTTTTATAAGTATACATGAACCAGTAGGTTAGGACCGATTGTATACAATAAAAAAGCAAGAAAAGAGCAGAGGAACTGATAAAGCCTTCCTATTTTGAGTAAATTAGAGAAGTTATACCTTCCTTTTTTGTGCTTGGAAAACTCTAATTTAAGGAAGGTTTTTATGGTGTGACTGATTCCTAGCTCTGCTAGTTACTACATTATAGGACCGCGGGCAAGTAAACTGACGTAAGCCTTGGTTTCCTCTTTCATAAACACCCTATAGTGTTTTTGAAATATTTACTATGCTGGCCAAAACTACACTTGCAGCTACTGCTCACTGCATCCTGTGTACGCTCACTGCTTCCCTTGCCCCCTCCAGAACCTTTCCTGGGTACACTTAGGCACAGGCCACCTCGGTTCTGTGGGGAATTCCTCCCGGCACTCCCCGCAGCACCGAGATGAATTTCCTGCTGTCTGCCGCGAAATATACATCAGCAAGGAAGCCGGTGAAAATCTCTGCCGCAAGTGGAATACCCGGCATGTCGGGAAGTCCCGGAAGGAAAGCGTTTCTGCCAGCCGCCTGGAGGGTGGGCTACTTCCGGACACCGAACCGGAACGGGGAGAGCAAGGCTCAAGAAGAGAGGGAGGTGTCCGGAAGTGCCCGGCGGACTACATTTTCCATAAGCCCGCGGGGTACAGTCAGGAGCCGGCGGCGGGACATTTCGCGACAGGCGTTGCCTGGCATTTGGCAGTACCAAGGTAAACGCCGGCACCGCCGCTCCAAGGAGAGAATAACGTATGGTCCGCAACTAGATTCGCACGTGAATGACTACCGACTACCCCGAACTGACAAACACTCTCCTCCCCAGCGGGCGTCTCGGAGACCTCCGGCCCCGGGACTGCACCCCCCCCCCCCCGGCTCTCAGCGCCCCGCCCCTGCGAGCCGTTCCCAGCTTGGCGCGGGGTCCGTCTAGGTAGGCGTAGGGCCGAGGACCGAGAGGCTGCCGGTCGGCCGTTCCCGCGAGCTGGGCTGCTGGGGTCGAGCACCACCAAACACTCCATCCCGTCTTTCGTCCTCCCCGCGAGCAGGGTTTAGGTCTGCTCCAGCGCGGCGACCCGCCCCGGCCGCCAAACCTAAGCGCCAGGAGGGCCGCTCTGCCTCGAACTTTTATGGCCGGCTACTGCGGCCTTTAACCCCGGAGCCGCGCTGCGCCCCGCGGTGTGTCCACCCCTTGCCGCACCCTCCTTCACCCGGCGGTATCCAGGGGTACCGCGGAGCCGGCGCAGAATCCAGCCCCGTTGCTAGCGGTCCGGCCTCGATCCCCCCCCCCCGCCGCCCCACCCCAGAGGCCTCCTCGCCCCTCCCAGACCCTCCCCGCGCCTCCCTGCCGAGCGGTGGGTGGGGTCTGCGGCTCCACGGCGGCTGTTGGTGGGTCCTCGGGTGACCCCTCCGGGATGGGGGGTGTGGCCGCTCGGCCGGCGTCTTCAGGGTGGGAGCGCTGGGCTGCTGGGCCTGGCGTAGCGACCCCCGGGGTCCGCTGCTAGAGATGCTCTTCCTCTCGGTGAGTGTCAGCTTTGCGGCGGGTCGGCTTGGGCCGGGTCGGCCCCGGTTGTCACGCCCCGGGAAGGGGGAGGAACCCGGCTCGCGGGCCTGGTAGGGCTGGGCGAAGCCGACCCCCGCCCGGCCTCCTCTGCGAGGCAGCTAACCGTGCTGCGCCGCAGTTCCATGCAGGCTCCTGGGAAAGTTGGTGCTGCTGCTGCTGCTTGATTCCCGCGGACACACCCGGGGACCGGGGCCGGCGCTGGCAGCCGGACATGGCCGACACCAGGTCGGTGTACGAAACCAGGTTCGAGGCGGCCGTGAAGGTGATTCAGAGCTTGCCTAAAAATGGTAGGTGCCCTGAGCTCCCTTTCCGAACCTTTTTGTTTCCAGTCTGCCTTGTTTAGCCTCCTTTTTTTCACTGATAAAAGGGACTATAATTGAAACGGTGGTATTGAATGTAACTTAATTACCTGCTGATCTTTCAGGCCAGAGACGAATATAATTCAAAATTTAGGTGGTTTATATCGTTGAAAACACTACTTTTCACTTAATGACTATGAATTTGGAATGTAAGAAAAAAAATGGGGTGGGATGCCTGGTGCTACATATACTCAGTGTGTAATTCAAATCTTTTGAAACTTGTTATAAAGAGAAAGGAAAGAACAACTATATTAATTTGTAAAAAAGATTATTTTGACTGTGATGTGTCTAGTCATGATTTTCTTTCTACATATCCTGTTTAGAATTTGCAGAACATTTTGTCATTCTAATTTTGTCTAACCAGTGTTATTTTTTTCTACTACCAAATTTTATTTTTCTCTCTATTCTAAGTGGAGAAGCTTTGGAGGAAGACTTTTCCTTGTAAATTCATATCCTTTTGCATTATGTGATTTATTTTTTTCATAGAAAAACTACATTTAAAAATTATCTTAAGAGCCGGGTGTGGTGGCACATGCCTTTAAATCCAGCACTCAGGAGGCAGAGGTAGGCGCATCTATGTAGGTTCAAGGCCAGCCCAGCCTGGTCTACACACTTGAGTTCCAGGCCAGCTGGAGCTACAAGGAGACCCTGTCTCAAAAAGACCAAAAAAAAAAAAAAAAAAAAAAAAAATAAACCCCCTTCCAAATACATTATTATAGTATTTAATATCTCATTTTTCATATATTATCATTTGACTAATGACTATTCAACACAGTTCATTCCAGTACAAATTCATTAAGTACAGATTCAAAAGTTTTGAAAACATTTGCAGAACATGCAGGAAGTACTGGGTTCAATCCCCAGCATTCCAAAAAGTGGAACAGGCTATAATCCTGTTTACTTTGGAGGATCAAAAGGGCTGGGGTTAACAGCTCAGCAACAGAGCACTTCTCTAGTGCTCTGGGCTCTAGGTTCAATGGTGTTCATTTTTATAACTTCAACATTGTATTGGAGGAAGACACATGGGGGACTGAATGATAAGTATGAATACTCAAAATATAAGGAAGTAATATAGACAATCAGATATTGATACTTTTAAATGCTCATTTAAGAATTTTTATGGGAAAGTAAGAGTATAAGAGTTTTACATAAATAGTAAGTTTGCTTTCTTTTTTTTTCTTTTTTCTTTTGGTCTTTTTGAGACGGGGTCTCCCTGTAGCCCCAGCTGTCTTGGAACTTGCTATGTAGACCAGGGTGGCCTTGAACACACAGATATCCGCCTGCCTCTGCCTCTGGAGTGCTGGGATTAAGGGCATGTGCCACCACACCTGGCCTATAAGTTTACTTTCTAAGCTATGTGCTTCATAGTTTTTTGAAAATTGATAAAGCTAGACTTTATCTCTAAACTTTACTTTTTAAGAAATCCATGCAAATTAAAATTATTGTAATTGCATACCATTTAAAAATATATTTTGAAGTCTGGAGAGACAGCTCAGAGGTTAAGAGAACCTGCTGCTCTTACAGAGGACCAGAGTTTGGTTCCCAGCATCCATAATCAGATGCCTCAAAACTGCCTGTCGTTCCAACTCCAGGGGATCTGAAACCCTCTTCTGACCCTCTTAGGAGAGCGCGCGCACACACACACACACACACACACACACACACACACAGAGGCAGAATAAAAATAGAGTAAATCTTAAAAAAAGAGGAGGTGTTTCAAGCCTAGTTTTGTGTTATACACCTGTAATCCCAGCAGTTGGGAAACTAAGTCAGGAAAATAGCTCTGATCTGGGCTATTATTATATAGTGGATTTTAGTCCAGGCTGGCTGGGCTACATAACTAGATCCTGTCTCACCATAAAAAACGAAAGAATGTGTTGCAAAATTAATATAAACTTGTTAAATGACCCTCATGAGTGCTGGTGGTGGGTTGTAGCTCAGTGGTAGAGTGCTTGCCTGAGGCCCTGGGTTTGGCTCTCAGCATTGCAAAGAAAAAAGGGTGAGGGCAGGATGGGCATGATTCAGTGGCAGAGTAGGTATTTAGCATGCATAAAGCCCTGTGTCCCATTTCTAGTACAAAAGAAAAGAAAATTCAATCCTAGCTCCCAAGAAAAAGGCAAAAAGGCACTTGTGTTAGATAACACTCAATATACTATTCTCAAACCTAAATTGATATTAATTAAACCAGGTTTACTATGATGAATATATTTTTAAAATTATTTTTCTTTTTGGTTTATTGAGACAAACCTTGTTATATAGCCTAGGCTGCCCTCAAACTTGGGAGATCCTCCTGCCTCTGTCTCTCAAGTACTAGGATTAGAGGTGTGCTTTACCATGCCTGATTTTTAATCCTTTATTTATTTACTTATTTATTTTTTGGCAATATTGGGGATTGAACCTTGGGCCAATGCACATGCTAGGCAAGTGCTTTACCACTGAGCTTTACTATTTTAAATTTTTCTGTTGGCCTTGAATTATTTTGCAATGAGATTGTGTAGCTTTTTCTAATTGCTTATTTTTTTTTTTTTTTTTTTTTTTTTTTTTTTGGTCTTTTTGAGTCAGCATCTCCCTGTAGCCCCAGCTGGCCTGGAACTTACTATGTACACCAGGCTGGCCTTGAACTCACAGAGATCCGCCTGCCTCTGCCTCCTGAGTGCTGGGATTAAAGGCTTGCGCCACCACACCTGGCCTTAATTGCTTAATTTTTAAGGCCTAAAGTAATAATGACAGGCTGAAGAGATGGCACAGTGGCTAAGAATGCTTGCTGTTCTTCTGAAGACCAGAGTTTAGTTCCCAGCACTCATATTGGGTGGCTCAGAGCCACCTATAACTCCAGCTCTGGGAGTTCCAGTACCCTCTTCTGGTCTCCACCAGCACCAGCACTCATATACACATTTAAATAAAAATAAAATTAAAAACAAATCTAAAATAATAATGAATCCTTTAAAGATTGTGCTTGATAGAATCTTAGCCTTTAGATATGTAAATTGTAAGCTAGTACTTCAAACATGTACATTACACATTTTATGTGAATACCGTAAAGACAAAAGTAATGTATCTAGTATAGATTTATCTAGCCAATAAACTTGTAAATTTTAATTTGTTGAAGAAATGAGATGAAGTTATTAAATTCAAAATTTTTTATTACATTTATTTTGTGGGTGCATGCATGTAGAGGTCATAGGACAACTTGAAAGAGTTGGTTCTCTCCTTCATGGGTCCTAGAGATAAAACTCAGGTTGTCAGGTTTGACTTGCAAGTACCTTGATGCATTGAGCCATCTCCCCAAACCCCTCCTCCCTTTTTAGAAACAATTTGATTGTTTTGGAATTTTAAAATTTACATTGGTTTTATTATTAACTAATTTTTAACTATGTTTTACTCTGTTTCCCTCCTTGACTATGTAAAGAACAACTATGTCTTTGGAATATTGTGTCTAAGAAATACTCCTAAATTTGCATGTCTTCTGTAGATAATTATGATTTGGGACTTAATTATACACTCTTGGCTGAACTTGAGCTCCTAGTTCTCAATTTGTCTATGTTGTAATCTCCATAGGTTATTTTACATTAGTAGCTTTTGATTACTACATGTAATGTTTGATATACAGTCTGTTTTTAAAACTTTTTTTTGATTGATTTATTTTTATTTTGTGAGTATGAATGTTTTCCATGCATGTGTGTAAGGGTACCTGTGTTGTGCTATGCCTGTGGAGGCCAGAAGAGGGCATTGGATTCCCTGGAACTGGAGTTATGGTTGGTTGTTAGCTACCATGTAGATGCTGGGAACCAAACCTAGGTCCTCTGCAAGAGTAGCCAGTGCTCTTAACTGCAGAGCCATCTTTCCAGTCCCACAATCTCTCTTTTTTAAAAAAAATTTATTTATTATATTTTATGTGTATATATGTATTACCTACATGTAGGTAAGTGCACCTGTGTCATGCATTGCCAGCGGAGGTCAGAAGAGGCTGTAGGATCCCCTGGGACTGGAATTACGGACAGTTGTCAGCTGCCATGTGGGTGCTGGGATGCAAACCTGGGTCTTCTGCAAGAACAACCAGTGTTCTTAACCACTGAGCCATCTCTCCAGCCCCCCTCTTTTTTTTTTTTTTTAAGATTTGTTTTTATTGTATGTGTATGAGTGTTTTGTCTGCATGTTTGTAAGCACTCCACTTGTATGCCTGGTACTCGTGGAGGCCAGAAGAGGGCATTAGATGCCCTCTTAGGTGGTTAGTTGACATGTGGGTGCTGGGAACTGAACCAGGGTCTTCTGTAATGAGCACTGATCTTGTTTCTTTTAAAAACAGGTAGGTAAGAAGGGAAATGGAATGGAATAATAATCTGCATACCTTATCCAAAGATACTTGCTTTTACCAGTTTGATGTGTATTGTACTGTGCTTTTGTTTGTTTGTTTTTTGAGATACATTGTTCCTATATAGTCTGGGCTGTCCTGGCACTTACTGTGTAATCCCACTGGTTCCCAGTCTGGCTTTCTTTCTGTAATCTTCTTGCCTTTGCTTTCCAAGTGTTGGGATTACAGGTATGTGTCACTACACCTGGCATACTGTACTTTTTTTTTTGTCTTTTTTAAGACCAGGTCTCCCCGTAGCTCAGCTGGCCTGGAACTGCTATGTAGACCAGGCTGGCCTTGAACTCACAGAGGTCAACCTGCCTTAGGCTCCCAAGTGCTGGGATTAATTGCGAGCTCCACCATGCCTGGCAGGTATACTGTACTTTATTTATTTTGGGAAAATTGATCATATTATATATGGTGTTTTTGAACTGTTTTTTTCCCCCGTCCCCATTTTCTATCCAGTCATTAAATGTTTCATGCTGTTATATTCTTCTACGATATAGTTTTCTAGGGGTATAGTAATAAATTACTGTTATTGGCATAATAATTATTTATTATAAAATGTTAATATCTCAATTTATCACTTACTGAGTATTGTAACTTATACATAGTTTGAGAATTTTTGTTACAGAAATTCTAGAAACAAAAATAAGTGAAAATGTGGAATATCATGCAAAATAAAGCCCCAATGACAAATAAAGTGACTACTGTAAGTAAAAAAGTTAATGTGTATACTGTGGGTAATAAAAATATAGCAGTTGACATCAACCCCTTGACCAAATTTTGTTTCTACTGGATAAAGGACTTTGGGCAAATTCAACCAGTTTGAATTTTGATTTAAAAAAAAAAAACTAATATAAAGTAAATTTCTCAGTTTCTACCTCTAATTCTGGACATCCTAGTTTCTTTAAAGACAATTCCTCCTATAGTGGTTTTTATGTGATATTTTCTGGTTATGTTGGTTATACCTATAACATCTTTGTTCATTTACTTATTGAACTCATACTGTTATTAAAAGTTCAAAATCTCAGAGCCTTTTGAAATCACAGGAGTAAAAGAACTAATAACTTCTGTTTCTAAGGTAAAAATAAATCATCTGAATTATAAACAAAATCTAGCCCATGCCTTTTATCTTAGCACTCACGAGACTGATGTAGGAGAATTGCTATGAGTTTGAAGCATGCTTGGGCTACACAGTGAGTTTAGATGAATCTGAGCAATAATGTAAGATCCTGTCTGAAAAAAATCAAACCAAACAAAGACAAAGTAGAAAATCACTACTAGTGTGGTATGGCTACACTAATACATAACTTTAGGTTATGAGTTATATTCCCCATGTGATCTGTATTTAATGTGTTTCCAATAGGATCATTCCAACCAACAAATGAAATGATGCTCAAGTTCTATAGCTTCTATAAACAGGCAACTGAAGGACCCTGTAAACTTTCAAGGCCTGGATTCTGGGATCCTATTGGAAGATATAAATGGTAATTCTATTTATAGAGTTTAAGAATTTTCATTTTTAATGACTTAATTATTAGACAGCTGTTACTTATGTGGCTATAAATCCTGTGCATAAAGTATCTTAAGTAGTGCTTACAATTTTATCCTTCAAGTGTCCTTAGGGAAGGCAGGGAAACAGCAAAATGTAGAGAGGCATGTGCTTCACATAAAAACTAAAAAAAAATTTTTCACTTACTCTTTCTTTCCTTTTGTGGAAGCTCCCCTACCACCCAGATCAGCTCCTAAACTAAAAGAAATAAGTAAGTTGGTAGTGCAGCTGTAATTCTAGCAGTCTGCGATGGAGGCAGAAGGATTAGGAGGTCAAGGCCAGTTTTGGCTTCATAGTTAATATGAGGCCAGCCTGGGCTACGTGAGACTCTCTTCTCAAAAACCAACAAACAGTCTTCCTTGTCTCTTTTAGCTGCCAGAAAAAATAATGAGTTTTGCTTGTCAGTGGACATTGTTTGCTTTGAGACGTTGAGATAATGTATAACTAGACATGACTCAGGTACTGCAACATTAGCTGCTACCTAAGCTATGACTTTTGACCCACTGTACTTTAATAGAAAATCGATTTTTAATATGGTTAAAAGAATCATAAAATATTGAGGCATTCTACCGTCTTCTGAATTGACTAACATATGAGAAACTCTAACATTTGGTATTCTTTTTTATAAAAAACATTTTATTATATATATTCTTCTTTTATTATTATTATTTTTATGTGTATAAGTGTATTGCGTGCATGTGTGTAAGTGCACCCGTGTTGTGCAGTGCCCCTGGAGGTCAGAAAAGGGCATCAGATTTCCCTGGAACTAGTTAAGGATAGTTGTTAGCTACCATGTGGGTGCTGGGAATGGAAGCCAGGTCCTCTGCAAGAACGGTCAGTGCTCCCAACTGCTGAGCCAACTTTCCAGCCCCAATATTTGGTATTTTTAAATACTATTGCAGATTTACAAATATCTGGCAAAAGTTCATTTTAGGTTGTACTTTATCAATGAAGTATGGTAATTATTCAGTGCCTTGTGTTTTTAGAGGCACTAAATAGTAGCTGGGTATAATAAGTAGCTCATGTCATTCCTGTAATACCAACCCTGGGGAAGCTAAGGCAGGGCATTGCTGTTAAGTTTGTCAGCCTATGCTGTGGTATAAAACCCTGTCTCAAAAAGCCAAAAGAAAAAAAAGAACCACTAAATGTTAAATTTCTTTACCCTGATTTAGAAGTATCATATTTCTTTATGCACTCATAATAAGTGGTCTTAATAGGTAAAATGAAATAGCCATTTACTTTAAGATAATTAACCTGTTTGCTTCATAGATAAGTAAATTATTTTTTTCCTTAAACTTGACCTTTGGCAGAGTTAACTCCTTTTGAGAAAAATGTATGAAGACAGGTTTTCATGTTAGTCAAAAGCTGAACACTTCAGCCAGGCATGGTGGTGCATGCCTTTAATTCCAGCACTGTGGAGGCAGAGGCAGGGCGTTTACTTTAAGATAATTAACCTGTTTGCTTCATAGATAAGTAAATTATTTTTTTCCTTAAACTTGACCTTTGGCAGAGTTAACTCCTTTTGAGAAAAATGTATGAAGACAGGTTTTCATGTTAGTCAAAAGCTGAACACTTCAGCCAGGCATGGTGGTGCATGCCTTTAATTCCAGCACTGTGGAGGCAGAGGCAGGGCGTAGGAGGGCATGGTTGTATACACTTTTAATCCCAGTACTAGGTAGGCAGAGGTAGGCAGATCTCTGTGAGATCGAGGCCAACCTAATCTGCATAGAGAGTTCTAATTAAATTTTTTTTTTTTTGGTCTTTTTGAGACAGGGTCTCCCTGTAGCCACAGCTGTCCTGGAACTCACTGTGTAGACCAGACTGGCCTTAAACTCACAGAGATCTGCCTGCCTCTGCCTCCCCAGTGCTGGGATTAAAGGTGGTTGCCACCACGCCTGGCTTGAATTAATTTTTTGAGATAGAATTTCATGTATTCCAGGCTAGCATACAATTTGCTTTGTAGCTGAGGATGACCTTGAACTTCAGATCTCCACCTTCCCAGTGTTAGGATTACAAGGGTGATTTTAGGGGGGCATGACCACACCTGATTTATTCTGTGCTAGAGATTTAACCCAAGGCTTTATGCAAGTATTCTGTCGACTGAAATACATCCTTAGCCTATTTCATCTTTAGTTTTATTATTACTTTTATGTGTATGAATGTATTGCCTGCATATATGTAAGTGCACCTGTGTTGTACAATGCCCATGTGAGTCAGAAGAGGGCATTGGATTCCCTGGAATTGGAGTTAATGAACAGCTGTTAGCTACCATGTTGGTGCTAGGATTTGAACCTGGGTCCTCTGCAAGAGTAGCCAGTGCTCTTAACCTCTGAGCCACATCTCCAGCTCCTCATCTTTGGTATTAGCATATAAATTAGTTAAACATTTAAATTAATGGAAATTCTTAAGACTTTCATTCATTTATAACGTAGCTATGACAATTCTTATAGTCTCCTAAACGGTTCATTTCTGTTTCTATACCATTTTTTTTTTTTTTTGTCTTTTTGAGACAGGGTATCCCTGTAGCCCCAGCTGGCCTAGAACTCGCTAGGTAGACCAGGCTGGCCTTGAACTAACAGAGAGCTTCCTGCCTCTGCCTTGCAGTGCTGGGATTAAAGGCGTGCACCACCATGCCTGGTTCCTGTTTCTATACTTTATAATGAGAACAACTTTGAAAGAGTTCTTAGAAGATATCTATGAATAGCCTATAGACACTGTGGTCCACAAATATATGGATGGGTTAAATGTTGATTGTTTTAAAACACTATTTTTCCCAAAAATTATTATAAAGGGTTACATAAGGCCATTTTCATGCACACTCATAATGCACATTGGCACTTTGAGCATCCCTCCTACCTTACTGCCCTCCCTTCTCCCCTTTTCCCTCCCATTTATTGCTGTTTCACTTCCACTTCCATGTCTATATGTGATTTTATGTGTCTAATAATTTAAGACCCACAAATGAGAGAAACATGTTTATTTTCCTAGACTGACCTGATCATTGTATCCATTTCCCTGAAGTTGACATAACTTCATTCTATGGCTACGGGCATGAGCTGTTGTGCAAGCCTGAGAATTAACATGTCTTTGTCATTTACTTGTGCATTTTCATTGTAGGGATGCTTGGAGTTCATTGGGTGATATGACTAAAGAAGAAGCCATGATCGCTTATGTTGAAGAAATGAAAAAGGTAGGGAAATAATTCATAGAGAATAAAAATAGTCAAAGAAGCTTTTTGAGAAGCCAGTGTAGTCCCAGCTGGCTTAGAACTTGATATATAGACCTGCCTGGCCTCCCTCTCACAGAGATCTGTGTGCCTCCAGAGTGCTAGAATTAAAGGCGAACACTACACCTGGCCAAAGCAGCTTTAGTTTACCCCCCCCTTTTTTTTTTTTTGACAATAGGGGGTTTGAATCTAGGCCTTCATGCATAGTCACCTCTACCTGTGAGCTGTATCTCTAGCATCTCTAATTTAATTTTCTTCTTTTGAGACAACTTATGTAGTCCAAACTGTCCTCAGAGTTGATATGTGGTTGAGGACGCCTTTACCTCCTGGGTGCTGAAATTATGGATGTGCATCACTAAGCCTGGTTGTATGTGGTACTGGAGAGCAAACTCAGGTACTCATGCATGCTGGGAAAGCACTGTACTAACTGAGCTACATCCTTAGCCCGTTTGATATTTTTTTTTAAATTTTAATTTTAATTTCTTATTTTATGTGTATGAGTGTATTGCCTGCATGTAAGTGAGTGCGCCCATGTCCTGCAATGCCGCGGAGGTCAGAAGAGGGCTTCGGATTTTCCTGGAACTGGAGTTAAGGACGGTTTGTAGCCATGTGGGTGCTGGGAATCGAACCCGGATCCTGTGTAAAGGCAGTCAGTGCTGTTAACTGCTGAGCCATCTCTTCAGCCCCGTTTGGTAATCTTAAACAATATCTTGAACAATATCTTGAAAAAAACCTCCAATAAGGGAAATAGGAAATAATTTGTCCCCCCCCAGATGGCTTTCTTCAATTTCTGTTCACAAGGTTCAGGCCAGTTTGTGCTGTTCTTGTCCTTGTGTGGTCTGCCTTGCTCTTGTTGTGCCCTTTGTTACATTTGCAGTTTTTGTTTACTGGACTTTAAAATACAGGGCAGACAGAGTTCAGTGCTTTCAGCTGTTAGCTACATGAGTAACAAAAAAACAAAGGAGCTTTTTAAAAGCAGAGACTGAGAATCCAAAACTGTTGTGCTTTGATAATTTATTCTCTTTAAAAAAATTTACACGCCCTGGGCATCATGACACAAGCCTTTAGTCCCAGCAGGCACAGGCGGATCTCTGTGAGTTCAAGGTCAGCCTGGTCTAGATAGTGAATTTCAGGCCAGCTGGGGCTACAGGGAGACCCTGTCTCAAAAAAAGACCAAAAAGAAAAATTTACACTTATTTGTTTGTGTGTATGTGTGGGTGCACATGCCTCAGGTGCACTTGTGGTCAGAAGACAGCTTTCTACTACATCCTGGAAATCAAGCTCAAATTGCGTGATTGCAAATGTCTTACCCATTGGGCCATTTCACTGCCCCCCCCCGCTTTTTTTAAGATTTCATTTTTATTTTTGTGTGTATATGTGTGTCTGTGAGTGTGTGCCATGTGTGTGAGTGCCTGCAGAGGCCAGAAGGTGTCAGATCCTCTAGAACTGGAGTTCCATTTGTTTGTGAATTGCCTGTTATGGGCGCTGGGAACTGAACTAACTGGGGTCTCCTGGAGGAACAGCATAGCAAGTGCTTTTAACAGCAAACCCATCCCACTAGTAATTTTTAAAATTAACAAAACAAAACATTGTTTATCTTGTGTGTGTGAAGTGGTGGTGGGGGATGTTTGTGCATGTGTTGAGGTTAGAAGACAACTTTCAGGAGTTGGCTCCTTCCTTCTGTGTGGGCTCTGAGGATTGAATTTAGGTCATCAGACTTGGCAGCAAGTGTCTTTAGTCGCTGAGCCATCTTGCTGACTATTTTTTTTCTCTCTCTCTTTCTTTCTTTCTTTCTTTGTGTGTGTGTGTGTGTGTGTGTGTGTGTGTGTGTGTGTGTGTGTGTGTTTGTGTGTGTGTGTATTTTGTTGTTGTCTTTTGAGACAGGGTTTCACTGTGTAACTGTTGACTGGCCTGGAACTGGCTATGTAGATTAAATTGGCCTTGACCTTAGAGAGATCTGCCTCCCAAATATTGGGATTAAAGGTGTGTGCTACCAGGCCTGAACCTTCCCTCCCTCCTTCCCTCCCTCCCTCCCTCTTTTTCTTTCTTAACCTTAAATATTATAAAGTTGAATTTACCTGTTAATTTATATTTATTCACTTTTCCTATCTAGTTTTATTAAGTAATGGTCTGGTTACAGTTTAAAGTGAGAAGGAAAGCCAGGCATGATGACTTGTGACTATAATTCCAGTACTCTGGAGGCTCAGGAAGAGTGATTGTTAGGAGTTCAAGGCCAGCCTGGGTTACAGTGGGTGTAGCCCTGGGTGTCTCAAAACCCCCTACCCAAGAAAGTGGAAAAGGGATGAAACAAATGGGTATTCTACTGTTTTCTCTAAAATGATTGAAACTGAGGCCTGTACCTGCCTTCAGACACTTGTACTTCCTGTGGATATCTCTATTTACTTCTCTAATTCGAAGAATATAACTGTTTTCATTTCAGCTTTTAAATTTTCATTTTGTATTATGGCATAACAAAGTTTATAGTAATCTTTTAAATTAAATCTAAAACTACTACAGTGTCTATAGATTGAAAATCTGTTTAGACTTTTGAATTAGGTTCAGAGTTCAGCCTTAGAGTTATTGGATAAAATTGCATGTTTAAAAATAATGTTGTAGTTGGGTGTGGTGGCGCATGTCTTTAATCCCAGCACTTTGGAGGCAGAAGCAGAGGGATCTCTGTGAGTTCAAGGCCAGCCTGGTCTACATAATGAGTTTCAGGCCAGCTGGGGCTACAGGGAGACCCTGTCTCAAAAAAAAAAAATGTTCTGTAGCTGGGCGTGTTAGTGCACACCTTTAATCCCAGCACTTGGGAGGCAGAGGCAGGATTTCTGTCAGATTTAAGCCAACCTGGTTTACATAGTAAGTTCCAGGCCAGTTGGGGCTACAGGGAGACCCTATATCAAAAAGACAAATAATAATAATAAAAATAATAATAATAATAATAGTAATAATAATAATAACAATGTTGTGTAATAGAGCATTACCCCCAAAGATTTGGTTACTGATTTGTGACTTACTGATTTATTGTGCTTATAATACTTTACTAACTAAAGTAGTCATTAACTTAGGTTCTTTGTTATTATCCACAGGTCAATGTGCTGTTGCTCTTTAGAGTTACACTCTTAAGTTTTTAAAATTACTCATTTTTATTTTCAATGTATGAGTGTTTTGCCTGCATGTATGTAAGTGCATGTAATTCTCATTTATTTAATTTTTTCTAATAAATAAATTAATAGAAATTAAACATGGAGGTCAGAAGAGAGATTTGGATTCCCCTGGAACTGGAGTTAAGGATGGTTCATAGCTGCCATGTGGGTGCTGGGAATCGAACCCAGGTCCTCTGCAAGAGCAGTCATTGCTCTTAACCACTGAGCCATCTCTCCAACCCCTGTTTATTTATTTTTTGGTGTTACTGAGTCAGGGTCTCCTTGAGCCCCATCTGGCCTGGATTCCCTATGGAGACCAGGCTGGCCTCGAACTCACAGAGAATCCCCTTGCCTCTGACTCCCAAATTCTGGGACTAAAGGTGTGTGCCACCATGCCCTAATTCTTCTTCTTTTTTTTAATGAAAGATGTCACATAGCCCATGCTGGCCTAGAACTGTGATTTAGTTGAGGATACCCTTAACTCGTGATACTCCTTCCTCTCCCTCTAGGCCTGTGCTACCATGCTCAATTCATGCAGTGCTGGGATTGACCTAGGGCTTCCAGTATGCTATGCAAATACTCTGTCAACTAAACTATATTCCCAGCTCCTGGAATTATAAATTCCGTTACTTTTTGAGACAGGGTCTCACGTAGCCTAGGCTACTCTTGAACTCTTGGTACGCCTGCCTCAGCTTCCCAAGTGGTGTTATTATAGGCAAATGCCACCATACCCACCTTTAAAATTCTTTTAGTTTTGGAGGGATATAGTAACTAATGTGCTTTTAGGAAGGCTTATGTAGTCCCCAGGCTGGCCGTGAGCTCATGGCAGTCCTCTTGCTCTTCAGCATCCCAGGTGCTTGGGTAACAGGTATGAGTGACCATGCCTGACTAAGGAGTACTTCAGGCTAGCTTAGGACCCATGATTCTCCTGCCTCAGACTCTTGGGCCATTTGCTTGCTGCTATGTTCCACAGTGACTCACCCATATATCTTTTTAAGTTCATTTTGATTCATAATCAGAGGAAAGTGTAAAATCCTAATTCTTATACAAATTTTACAGATAATTTTATGGAGATTTTCCATTGTATTCAGCCAACATTTGAGTAGTGTTCATGCTGTCTGCAGGATTTAAAGAACAATCAATGTACTCAACTTTGGTTACATATACAAATGCCCCAGGCTGATCCAGAATGACTTCAGACTCTAAAAGGATGTGTAAGCAATAGAGGGATAGAGTAGTGTCTCATAATGAACAGAACTAATGTTTCCCATGACTGGGAGTCCAGTCTGCAGCTGTACAAGTCTAGAACATTGACTTTCTTTGAGGGTTGAATTTTGTTTTTAAGGTTTGAATCAAAATTATTGATAGGTAAAAAGTTGGCGGAGAACGAGCGAATGGATGATGAGGCACCGAGGCACAGCTAAAACTCCATCAAAATAGGGTTTATTAGCAAAGGAACACATGGGGCAGATTCCCTTCCAGGCAGGGAAAATGTCTGCCTGGGTCTTGAGCTGGGGTCTTTTAAAAAAGGGAGGCTTCTGCTTCCTGCAGAAGGTGGGAAGATGTATTTTTTTAAAGATGGGTGGGGGGAAGTGGGAGAGCAGGACTGTTAAAACCTGTTCTCTTTGGAGATCAAAGGGGAAGCCTGCTGTGTTGGCCAAACAGTGGAGAAAAGTCTGCTTCTCTTGACTTCAAAGGCCAAGGTGCTTATCAGCTAGGTTCCCTTTTCTCAGGAGCATGAGAAGTCCTTGGGATCCTGTTGGTGAGGGGGCAGGGCTATCTGAACCTTAACAGCACACACCTTTACAGCACTCAGAA